TCACTGGGCAGGTGAGATGGGCCCTCTTGCGGAGCTGAGCTTACCCACCTGAAACGGAGAAACCGCATACTGTTCAAAGGTATGCGATGAAACCCTTGCCCATTGCCGCTGCCATGTTCGGCGGGCGGGCCAAGTCTACAAAGGGCGTCCGCAGAGCATCGGCACCGCAAAGAGTGCCAGTACCTCCTTTGATGTATACAGCTCGTTTCCAGTGACTTTTCCGATCACTACACTACACGCCACACCGCTCTCTCTTACACCGCACTGCTCAAATGCTTCTAAGTTCATCAGAGCTGTATACATTCTGCGGACAATGACTGTGCTCAGCTTCAGATTGCGGCTGCTTTGGCTTGGAGCCAACCGGCCCGCAGTCCTTAACTGCCATCCGACTCGCCCGGACAAGGAAGCGTGCGCTGCAATCCGTCGACCGACTCACAAATGCCAGGTGTCCGAAAGGAAGAAAGGAGCTGCTCAGCAGATTCACTCCGGTGTGCAGTGTTCGATCCAGCGACTCCGGAAATTGATTCCTCGGATGGCAACGACAATGCTTCGAACTTCTCAGAGCCAACTTTGGGACCGACTGTGTTCACTGCGACAGGCTCTGCCGAGGTTCAGTGGCGTAGGCACTGAGTCAGGCTCTTCCTTCAAGGACAACATTACAGGCTCTGTCTGCGGAACTCTGACTCTGGCTACTTGATCACGAGACAGTCCTGATCCGCAGGGTGCAGTACTTCTTCACTTGACAGCATCGAGCTCTCCTCCGCAGCCTCCAGCACAGGAGCCACGTCAGGCGCTCGAAGTGAAACTCTGCAGAAGGTGTAGTCGGCTAGCTGCGGGCGGTCCTCTTCTCGGGAAGAGCCGACTGCAGTCTCCTGTATCGAGTCCTGAAGGGATGCCAGACGAGACTGAGACCGAGAGCCACAAGGCACACGATAGGAAGTCAGCAGCGTGTCCTCGTCTTCCATTCGATGCTGCTCTGTGGTTTTCCCGTGGAGATCCACTCCAGCGTGCGGTGTTGATCCCGGAAGATGATTCCTTGGATAGCAATGCCAATTCTTCAGGGTGCCAACTTCGGGTCCCACTGTGTCCATTGTGACAGACTCTGCCGAGACTCAGTGGCATAGGCACTGAGTCAGAGCCTTCCTTGAAGGACAGCATGGTGCAAGAAGTGAACCTCTTCCGGAGGGTGCAGTTGGCTGGCCGCCGGCAGTCCTCTGCTCGGGAGGAGCCGGTTGCAGTCTCCTGCAGCGACTCCTGCAGGAATACCTGCAGGGACACCAAGTGACTGCGA